GTGGCTCACACCTGTAATGCTAGCACTCTAGGAGGCCAAGGCAGGAGGAATGCTTGAATCCAGGAGCTTGAGGTTGCTGTGAGTTAGGCTGATGCCACAGCACTCTAGCCTGGGCAACAGAGTGAGACTCTCAAAAATTAAAAAAATTGATGAAATTGTGAACGATGATTAAGGCAGTAACTAAATGTATAATTTAAGTAAAAGTCATGAAGAATAAAATCAGTTCTTCTTATTAAATTATTAAGGGAGAAATCAAAAACAGGAAGTTGATACTGAGAATATTTGGGATCCTTACAGGAACTCTGAATGCAGAGATTTTTTCTGGAACACATTTTCATTTCCTTGTAATATCACAAAGTAAACCGCAGGGCAAGTGGTCATATTATTTTGAATGTTTGAAGTCTGGAGAAGACACACCAGTTTCTATATAGTTAATGTTTACATTTGCCTGTGTGAGGACTGACCTTTAGATCAGACGAGTTCTAATTTTCATTTTTATTTTCTATTACCTACCTATGTGTGATATCTTTTAGGAGTCAATCATTATTGATATTTTAACATTGACTTTCTATAGTCTTAAAGAGTTTGGGCCTAATTCTGCCTTTAAGACGAAAGACTGAAGAGGATAGGTGCAATCCGAAGTCCAAGTCCGTTGTATCTGATTACAATACTAGCTCTATTTAAGGACTACTTGGCTAACTTTCTGAGTTTTCTAGCGCCTTGGTGTTTGCTTTAATATTTTAAATTTATTTTTAAAAAGATGCATATAATTATAATAAAATTAAAAAAAAATTCAGATAATGAAAATAATATGGCACGTAGAAGGTAAAAGTTTCTCTCTTCTCCTCCTTCCTCCGTTGCCAACCCATTCCCCAAAGATAACCATTGTTTAGAATATAACCTTGTTATAAAAAAAGAAGGAACATATTCTTATAGATTTCCTTCTACCTAAAAACAATTGTGTGTGTCTATAGATATTATATATATATTTAACTAAGACCATGCTAATCATAATGTATAATTTGCTTTTTTCTTGGGGACAGCTGACATTTACATGAATATAATATAGATGTAGCTCATTCTTATTAATGATTCCATAGAAATTCATTTTATAGATACGCATATAATATTTTTATATAATTAACACTTTTGAATTGTTTTCCTTTTCCTTTCTTACTTCTTTCTTTTTTTTTCCTTCTTCTTTTATTATTATAGACTGAATTCTGATATAAATTTTTGGGGTAATGCTTTTGGAATCTCTACCTGGTTTGGATTCTCTACCCAGTAATTTTCTAGTACGTTAAGCACCTTAAGTTCTGAAATAGTATTTGATAAAGTATATAGTAATTTTAAGGAAGTAATAAAATTATAAAAATAAAGACATAAAAACAATAAGAAAGAAAATGTAATAATACAAGGCATAAAAATATAAGAATAATAAAAATAACTTATAATTTGCATTTTTTATGGGTATATATTGAGGCCTCTGTAAGCAAATGCCATTAGAAATTTACAAGTGTAGGCTCGGCGCCTGTGGCTCAACCGGCTAGGGTGCCAGCCACATACACCTAGGGTGGCGGGTTCGAATCCCCAGCCCGGACCTGCCAAACAACAATGACGGCTGCAACCAAAACATAGCCGGGCGTTGTGGCGGGCGCCTGTGGTCCCAGCTACTTGGGAGGCGGAGGCAGGAGACTCGCTTGAGCCCAGGAGTTGGAGGTTG